GCGCATCGGTTCCTTCGACTCCTGGAGCTGCAGGAGACCGTGTCTGACATTATTCGCCACCCACCGTTCCAGCGCGCTGATGACTGTTTGGCCGAGCGGAAGGGGGGGTGGTGCACGCGTGGCTGCCGCGAGGAGAAGCTGCTCCGCGGTTCCAGCACGCGGGCCCTTCTGCCTACGCTTGAGTTGCACGACGTCAGGACGGCGAACCGCGCGTTTCTTGCGCGACCAGCGCTTGGACAGTCTGCCCTCGAATAGCGCGCTTTCGAAGCGGTTTCCGACAGCGGGCTCGCCGACCTCGGCTTGCTCTTCATGCGCTGAGAGGACCTGCTGGCGCGGCCGTTTTGACCGACTTCAGACGAGGCTCGGGGGGCTTGCAGGCGGGCGCCGCCTGATCGGTCGGCTAAATTCTTCACCGAGGCTGCGGTCAGCTTCTCAGACGCTGCGTTTGACCATAATGCGGAAGCGGAGCGTTATTCTAGACATGGTTTAATATTACGAGTGCATGATTGTGTCTGAGGTATTCAGCGAAACTCACGCTCTAGACTATCGCTTGATAGTGCTATGGATGCTGTGTTGTCTTCCTACCTGTTCTTTTGGCTGTTTCAGGGTTTCGGGCCCGTGTGCGAGTGCTATTTCGCACCGAGGGGTAATCGTTGGATGTAGACATGCAAACTCTATATGCGCTATGATGAATCTCCTTGTGCAGGGTTGTCTCGCGCATATGCCGACTGCGCAGGGTTGTGTAGCCGCGGATCTGCATGGGCGACTTGCTTTCTGTGGTCAGGCAAGCACGTAGGTGAGTGGAACGTTCTGTTGACAGCTGCGCGATAGCACTTTCAGGCTCGGTTTTATAATGCAGGCTTTGAAACGCGGGTGCGTGGCCACTGTGTTGCTAATGGTTCGTCGAGAGCGTCGTCGCCCGATCTCGTCCTGCAGCCGCGCGGCCTCTTCCTGCGCGCGCAACCTGGGGCTCGAAGTTGTTCTCCCGGGTGGCCTTCTCGGGCCTCTGGGCAGGTTCGGCTCGACAGCGTTTCGAGACGGCGCGACATGCTCGCGGCGCTTCGGAGAAGAGCCGCCGGTAAAGTGAAGGCGCTTTGGAGGACCACGCCTGCGGCAGGGCGCGGGGCGGGGGTGAGTGGGCTGACCGACCCCGCGCCCGTGGCTCTCAGGTCGTTGGTGGGAGCTCGCGTGGGCGCGAAGCGGTCGGGATCCCACGGGGCTCGGCGCGCCCGCCCAGCTTGGCTCTCTTAAATTTAGGCCATTGACGACGCCGGGGCCCCTCTAATTCAGAGGCGCGCGGGGATCGCGCGGGGCCGCGGGTTCTTTCTCGTCCGCCTGCAAATGGACATGGGCGGCCATTCTGGATCAGATCTGCGCTCGTGCTACTTTGGAACCCATGGGGCCAAGTCGGTGCCGCGCCCCTCTTGCTCCGTCGCGCGGGATGGGACGCGTTCGCTGCGCGCGTTGCGTTGTCTGACGAAGGTCGGGGGCGGCAGAGAGGGAGGTGATGACTAGCGGGGGGTGGGTGTCATCGCGGGAGCCTTGAGATCTCCCCAGATAGCATGGCGCCTCTTCTTGTGTCGCTGCAGGTTTCACGTCGCGATGTGAAGCAGCAGCTGCGCGCCGCCGTTCAAAGGTGGCCAGAACCGAGCGCTGCCGCAGCTTCCAGAGGCCCTTGGCTCGGAGCGGGCGCGGATGCGCACCGCGAGGAATGCCGCGCTCAGAATCCGTGTTCACGGTCGGAGAAGCGCCATTCAGTGTTTGATCGGCGGCGCCACGTGGCCTGCCGCTCGTGGACTCGCGGCGGGAAATGGCGGCAGTGACAGGCGCCAGTCCTGCGATGCAAAATGCGGTCAGCCCCTGCCGCCATCAGTTGTGCGACTGCGACCTCGCGCGCGATTTCTCCGGGTCGCAGGGCCAGCGCGCCTGAGGACGTCTGGGGGCGGAGGTCTGGTCTACCGGGCAGGGTCTGGGAGGTATCTCCATGACCCTTGTCCCCGACGCGTTCCCTGCGCGCTCCTAGGGGGTGGCCGGGCCGCGCCGGGGGCGGGGGATCTACGCTGGCGGATCGGGGCCGCCCAGCGTCGGTCCCGAGTTCAGACTGCGCGGGCGGTCCGCGGTGGAGTTTGCCCCGAGCGGGCTCCCGACCCGCGCCGCGCGCGGAGCTCTCCCTGGGCGGCGCCGGTCGATGCCTCGGGCCGAGCGGCATGTGATTCTCCGGGCGCTCTAGATTCCCATGTTTCGGACCATTTATGCGCGGTTAAAGAGGGAAGGTCTCTGGGCCCCCTCCCCGTCCTTCAGCGGTTCTAAGCATGCCTGCACCTGGAGACATACATTCGCTTTATCAAAGACGGCCATCCCACTCCGACCATTGCCTGTGTTTTTTCGCATCGTGAGTGGTGCGGCGTTTTCTGCTCGTGCGGTCCGTCGGAGAAGGGATGTCACGTCTTAGGGAATCTGCGGGTTGATGACTTCCCGGGTTGGGTTCGGAGTCTCATGC